GTTCAGAGTGTTAAGTCAAAAGCAGCAGAACTATTCATTCAAGACTGAATTACTGTTGAATGGCTGGGTGTGGGTAGATTGTGTTTTATCTAGCACTTTCTAAGATTTTTCTGTTCCCTTGCTAATGCCCAATAAACTGAAATTTCAGAGACTTAATTTCTCAAGTAAATTTGTACAGTGTTTTGACTTTGAAGAACAATTTATGCTGTCTCAAATGTTTGCTCAGAATTTATTAATCATTGGATAAATAGCTAGCCTTGCAGTTATTTAAAATACAGTTTCCTTTCCCATTTTGATTTAGCATTGTCTTTCCAGCTTTTCACTGCAATTAAGTCATGTATAGTACCAATTTGAAGGGTAGTGAAAATGTTTGTATAAATCACCTGAAGATGTAACCTAATCAAATCTCTCTGGTTCTAACTTAAAATGACTATTTTGTCCTTGTCTTCTTTGAAATACCACTTGCTCCCCACAAAGGTGACCATGATGGTGTTTGCATCTCTTTCTGTACCTAAATTCTGCAGTGTTGTTCTTAGCTGGTGTTTTTCTGCTGTGCTGGTTTTGGCTTGGATAGGGTTGATTTTCTTTGCAGGAATCTTCAGGAATCTTCAGGAATTCCTTAAAGGGAGTAGCCGTGGGATTTCCGTGGGAGTTCCATACTTCTCTCCTCATTTTGTTTTCTTTTTTCACCTCACTAGATCTCTGTTTAATCTCATCTATAAATCAAAATTGAACTCTCCGGAATTCATGAGGAGCAAGCATTTTAGTAAGCCTTTACCTGCTTTTGCTACAGCAAACACTGATCTGTGCTGGTTTATTCTTGGAGGGCAGATTTTGACTTGGGTCTGTTTGGCTTGGTGAAAATTGTGTCTGAATTCCTGAATTTTCTGACCTATTTTTGTTGTGCCAGTGTCTTTATGGGAGACCTGTACATGCAGAGGTGTATAGATCTGTTAGTTATGGAACAACAATTTATCTTGTTAGCTTTAATTGAAATGAATCTTCATACTAAACGAGCTTAAAATTGAATGTTTAGTCTTATTTTAGAGAATCAACAAGATCTTGACTGCAGGAGAGGTTAAGTAAGGCAATGGATATAATTTTTGGAGAATATCTGGAAACACTTTTTTTTTTTTTTTTTTTTTTGTTTTTGTTTTTTTTTTTTTTGTTTTGTTTTGTTTTTTGGTTTTTTTTTGTAGTTGTTACTCAAGGTTTTTAGTGTGCATTTCAGGCATAAAAATGAGCAAAACTTCAACAGCCCATACTGTGGGTACCTTTTCTTAGAAAGGGACTTCAAAGGTACTTTTGGGGCTGATGAGCCCCTTTTTCTTGTTCTCATCAGGCCAGTCAGGGAAACAATACTATGGCCTGTCTTGCTCATGATGTCCCTCTGCTTCTCCTGATTTGTTTTTAAGTATTCTATTTAATGCAAATATAGTATATAAGTATAATAATACAATATTCCTTCTAGCCAAGGAATTAGGAATGTAATCCTTTGACATTTTAATTAATACTTTGATAATTTATACTTTTAACTACCCTTTCTACCTGTTGGCCCCATTTTTAAGAAGTTTAGAATTTTTGAAATGATAGATTAAAGAAATACCCTCACTGCATTCTCCAAAGTTTACACACCCTGGGCTTGCTTTAGCTTTTCATGATCAGGAAACATAACTTATTAATGTAGTTAGCAGAGCTTGTATTCAAGCACTTGACCCAAACTACTGGTTTGTAACATTTGTGTGCTGTACAGATTCACTGTTTGCAAATAGTTAAATCTCTTCACTTTTCAAACTTGTGTCCTTGTGTCTCCTTTATACATCCCATTGTGAATCTCTAGCTATCAGTTTATATTCTACTTGGTAAAAATGAAGCTATTAATTTTGCCCTGCTGTTATGTTCTTTCTCATTCCCTTCAGATGAGGAGGATGACTGTACCATCTGGCACGTAAACTTCACTTTGGGCCTTTCTCTAAATGTTTGAGTTTGATGTGTGGCCAAATCTTGCAGATGCTTTCTTTGAGACCTTTGTTAGATATGGCCTATCATAGCCATTACCACAGTTAAAATGTTCTCATTTTGTATCTTAATTTCAGTAATTCCTTTTTCTTGGCCAATGATTTGTTATCTAGTCATTTAGAATATTCTGCAAGATCATTTCCTGGTCTGTAAAATCAAGCTGTATTTATGTATCTTACTCGCTTTCTTTCTGTCCAAAATTTAATTGTCCTTGCCTTTAAACTTTTCATGGCTTAAGTGTATCCTCATATCATCCTTCATCCCAAGATACCCATTCTTGCTGTTTACTGGCTCATCATAAGTCCATGTTGGCCAGCTGTTAGTTTTCTTTCTACAAAATCGCTGCATTCCTTATAAACCTCATTTTTAGAAAATAATTTTTCTCCTCCAAAGCTCTCCTTAAAGTCTTTTTACTGTGATGTCTACATAAAAGCTGGACTAGACTTGTCTCCTGGTGTGTTAAGAATTCTGCCTGTTGAGCTGACCAATGTCAGATATTCAGAAAAAAAGGACTGGAGAGTAACTATTCATGTCTTTTAGCTGTCAGTAACTCTGATTGTGCCCTTGGCCTTCATTGACTGCAAACTACAATTTTGTATAGTTAAATATTTATTAATGGTTGAAACTCTTTCTTGTACTAAAACTGCCCCTTTTCACCAAGAGCAGATGTAACATGAATTACCTTGAATCACTGTGGGCTGGCAATGTGCAATGGACACTCACCTGGCAGTCACCTGGCATAACAGTGCCTGTACAGTTCACAGCAGACTGCCTGAAATTCAGGAGGCATAAGGTGCAATATTTGTAAGTGGGGAGAAGGACTGAGAAGTACACAAAATTCAGAAACATAATTTCCCCTTGATTTTTCACTTTCAGTTTGTTAGTTTCTATGATCTTGTGTGCTTTAATTTCTCTGCTGTAGTAAAGGATGTGCTCCCCTGACCGTATAGTATTCTTGATGTTTCTTCATAGAAGATATGATTTCCAATATGATGGTGGCATTTTCTTCCTTAAAATTTGTCAACCTTTTAACCTGCTGTTTTGTTTGTCCACTCTCTATTCTTTCCTTCCTGGAACGGAGAGTTTGAGAAAAATTGTAAATTGTGAGCTTGTCTTTGTGGACTTACGTAAGCATGCCATGGTATGTTAGAGAAGTATAGTGTAAATGCTATCCATCTATTCATCTATCTATCAATTTATTTTTATCATAATTGTGTGTAGGTATTTTGAGTTCAAATATAGTGAAAGAAATCCAATGAGTGAAATCTGGAAGTGGGTTAAAAGTTCCTTTAAAAGCTCATGAAATAAAAGTAAAGAAAATATATATTTATTTTTCCCCAAAGAGTAATCTCACTGTTGTGTTTTCCAAGCTGCACTTGAAGCTAATATGTGAAGCATAAAAATAATAGTTAACAATGAAATGTTTTAGGCGGTATGCTGTATTTTATTCTTAAAAGGATTTCAAAAGAGTCTCTCTCATGGTAGTTATTTTTCAGAGGAAAAAGTTAAGTGAATACACGAGTTTTTAACAAAATTGTTACTGACTTCGGGTTTTATTATAGTAAATGTATTTGTTCTTCCTTTTTTTTTTAAATGAAACTGTATTATATACTCAACATTTACTATTATGGAAAAACCATACTACAGACATTAGTGTCAATAGCTTAGTATTTTAGTCCTTTACAAATTAATGCCTGTGGTAACTGGATGATTTTAGGCCTGTTCTTATGAACAAGGCCTTAGTGATGTGCAAGGAACAGTAATATGTGGCAAAAACTCCACATTAACCAAGGTAAGCAGTATAAATAGGGTGTAGGAATCCCCTGTTAGACTAAAAATCTCCAAGAGAAAATCTCCAGAGCCTACAAATTAAAGACCTCCAATATCATTTAAAAATAAAGCCTTTTATGTAGTAGGAGAGCATTTTTTCAGCTGATAATCAAATGACACTATTATACAGGCTTACTAGATTTGCAAATTTACAAGTTTTTACAAGTCAGTTGGGTCCCTTCCTCAGGAAATCAGTTTAAGTTTTTTTTTCCTGTATTGACTCAAAGAGCCTGGTTGTCCTTAAATCCTTCTGAATATATTTGCCTTATAATTTGACTGCATTGAGTCAACAGCCTTATAGAAACTGTAATGCAATAAAAAAAAGAGAAACTGTTCAATATAGTTTCCAATTACCTTAGGATCAGATTTGGAGAAACTGGAATGTACACAATAAAACCTGTGCAAGACTTGAGTTCCATGAGGTTTTGGAAGCAACCAGTGCTTTTCAACATAAAATACTGTTTGAAAGCTTTTCTCTCCTTTCAGTGGTTGTAAAATGACAAAAATGGAAATATGTGTGCATCTCAAAAGGTGCATTTTACTTTTTTTTCATTTTCCGCACCATACCTTTATGGAATTGAAAGCTTGGTATATAAGTAACTAAGCATCACTGTTTTTATTCAGTTAATTTTTTTATTATAGGGAATGCTTTTGCTTTGCCATGCTCTGCAGTAAAATTCTTTATAACTCATTTACATTTTTTACTTAGGAAAAATATGTCGATTCAGATGTGCTCAGTGAACTTTTATTTTGTAAAAGTCTTTAGATTACACTGGAATCCCCAATATATATTGTGCTTGCAAACAGAATGTACAATATTTAGTTCTGTCTTGGTTTTGTATGTCATTAGCAATAAAGTTATTACAAATTGTTTTAGTGTATCCAGAAACAAATTTGTTCTTATTTTGAGATACGAATTTGTTGCTTTTGTCCATACAGTTTTAATTGTGTTTTCATTTTAGTTTTGCAAATAAAATGAATCTGATGTAATTAATTACCTTTATTTTGGCAAATGATTATAAAAAGAAACTTGCATTTGCATACACCTGTAAAGGAAAATACTATGTCTGATGTGTTTCCAATGAATAATTTCTAAGACAGGTAAATGGGCTCCAATGTAATAATTTTTCCTTTCTTCAACTTATTTTTAGTTGACTTGGAGCATATGCGCACAGTGAAATCTGACAAGCACCAGCGATTTTGTCAGGAAAACAATTTCAGTAGCCATTTTGTGTCAGCCAAGACAGGAGATTCTGTAAGTAAGAAAAAGAAACTTCTAGATGTCTTTTTTTTCAAGATGCAGCAGTTTTATTGTACTTCACATAACAAACCGTTGCGAATTTGGGCTGCTGCAGGTCCTTTTTTTGCTTCCCTAGTTGCATGAAAAATAGATTTGTTTATGAGTGTATATTATCATTATTAAATTGCAGTGGCTTCTTGTCTGATTTTCAGTTTGAAATACAGATTTTAATGCAAATGGTCTAGCTAACACATCAGTTTGAGAACCAAGACCAGCTAAATCTCTGTTTGCTGTCAACCTGTAGTTAAATATATTCATTCCAGGTGGAGTGCTATCTACAGACCATCTTCCAACAAATGCTAAATAATGTGACAAGACCCTATTGCAGTCAAGGTTTTTAATATGAGTCCTAAACCATGAGAAACTCTCCCTCTGCAGGCCCATTGAAGTCTGAACATTCTGGCATTCGTACCAGATGCTTTGCAGAGTGCATTTTTGAACAGTCTTTTCACCTCTGAGCTAACTGGGTTATTTGTTTTTGTTGGACACATATGAATTAAAGTGTTCCTTTTCAGTTGACACTATCAGTCAAATTAAATCATATTGTTTTATTTTGCTTGATTTCTGTCACTTGCCTAATATGTTTGTCATTCCCATAAAAGAGTCTTGTATCTGTCTCCTTAATATTACTGTTGACAACAAAATTTACTTTATTTTTATGTTATTGAAGAGTAAAACCATGTTCAATTATATGGAAGTATAGTTCTATAACACAAATGGAATCACTTGTTGTTTTAAGGTCTTTGATGAAACTTCTGCAGTGGACTGCCTAATTTTATAATAGTTTTTCTGTAAAGTGTAACAATACTGCTGTTATAAATGCAGTGAGTCCTGATTCTCTGTATAGTTAGTGTTAAATTTCTGGCATAATTTTTTGTTTAAAGTGGGAAAATCCAGGCTTTTTATACTAGAAACAGAAGGAAAATTTTATAATACTTCACTCAATGACACGTGCATCTAATAAAATGGATACTTTTCTCAAGGAGACAACCTTTCTGTGGGATTTGGTGATAAGGAGAAAAATCAGTTAATTTTATAACGTTGACATATTTATCATTACAAATTACAAAGGAATCTTCGTTACATCTTTTTAATTGATTCATTAATTACAGCAGCATTCCACTATATATACTTACTCTACTTTTCATAATTTACTGTTTAAAAACAAAAGTAAATCTGAACACACTTAGAAAGCATTAACCAGAAATCTCTGCCTAAATATCTACTAACAAAAGAAGTAGTTTACAGTAGCTAATTTTTAGTCTCAGTGTAAATTTGAATTATCCCTTTCACTATTACTGCACACTGACTTCTCAAAATCTTGATGTATTTTGGTAGTTGTGCAGGAAGGATGGGGTTTTTATCCTAGGCACTGATTTAAGAAGAGGCCAACCGTTGCTCATGTGAATATAGACTAGAGGAGTCTTACTCAGTTAAGATAAATGGTTTGTTTTGTTCACCTCAGATCTTTCCAGCAGATTTGTTTGCAAAAAAAAGGTTTTATGTACATATAAAAACCCACAAGTCTCCTCAGGGAAGAAAAATTTTCATGAAAGATTTAATATAGCTAACTGTCTTACTGTCCATCAAATCACATAACCAAAGCACTGAACTTGAGCCTGATGTTTTGTGCACAAAGTGTCTTCAGGGCAGGCGATGTATCTCAGAACACCTGAGATCTTGGTGTGGGTTAAAGTAGGTCTCTGGACCTCAGAATCTCCGTTCAGTAATTCCTCTCATGTTGTGTGGTGTTAGGACAGACCAGTACTAGACCATGTAGTTCAGAGAAAGAGCAATTGTTTTGGAAGCTACCAGTTTGTTGGCTGTGCCACTAATTTGTTACTGGTTTCCATCTCGGGTATAAGAGATTGTGAAAATGTTATTTACAGAATTTTCTCTGAAAATTTGAAAATGACTGAGAACACATACACAGGCTTACCTTTTGGGGGTGTCAGCTGCATGATGAAAAGCAATGTTTGTTCGTAGTTTAGATCATAAGCTCAGACGAACAGCCCTGTAGATAAAATATAACGTGCAGCTTTGACAATAAGTGTTCAGCAGCAGTGCAAGCTTAAGCTGCTCCTCTTGAACATCTGTTGTGTTCTTTAATCTCATTTCAATGCATTTACCTGAACAGTAAGATAGGTGGACTGGCTTGAGATGAATTAAAGGACTTATTTAAGATAGCATTGCCACCCACTATTATGTGCTAAATGTCCAGAGTCTTACTCTGCTGCAGTGCTGCTGCAGGCCATAAAACATCTTGTTTGTTCTTGATACCTCTGTTTAGTATAAATAATGTTCTGTAAGACTCCTCAGAACTCTTTTGTAATTCTATTTTTTAAAATGTGCGTAATAGAGATTTTGGTGGTGTTGATGCACAGTTCTGTTGTTCTCAATTTCAGAAACCTACTTCTCTATTGCACAACACACTAGTAATATATTTTTGTGCTAAACGTTAGTGAATACCCTTATTCATATTTTATAGCACTGAGAGTAGTATTTGAGAGGTGGGTTGTATAAAAGCTTGTTTAAACTTAGGTCTCTGGAGGCAGAGTAGAAGTGTTGCTTAACAATCCAGCATACTGTTCATTCCTTGTACCATTGTTGAATTATTTTCTCAAATTTTTAAACAAAATTGAAAGTACCAGATGAGGTTATTTTCAGATCTGCTTTGCACAGGTCATAATTTTGTATATCTCATTGTTTACAGTTCAAGTATGGTTTGATATATTTGAAAGAACCTCAAGGATGTCTGTTTTTAATCATTTAAATGCAATTTATTTTTTTTCCATAGGTCTTCCTGTGTTTTCAGAGAATTGCTGCTGACATACTCGGCATAAAATTAAACAAAGCAGAGTTGGAACAATCACAGGTGATTTTCCACAAATACTTCATTTTTCTTAGTATTTTATTTACTATTAAAAATAATCTAATTGAAGATTAATTGCTGTCCTTTAAATCACTCTTTGTCTGTTGTTCTGAAGATAATTATTTAATTTCACAACTTTTTAAAAATGAAATAATTCTTTATTCATCCATCATGATAAACTTGCTGAAACGAGAAAAAACATGTTTGAAAAATTAAGGAAAAACTTGAGTTTTAGGGATTTTTTTTTAGAAATAGCAGTCAAGTCTCTATATGTATGCATATACAGGTAGCATGGAAGATATTCTTATATATCCATTAAATACTGTGCATTCATGTCAGACACAGTTGTAATGACAATCCTTTTTTAGTTCTATATGCATTTAAAAACAAATCTCATTTTAGAACACTACAAATTTTAAGTCACAGAAGGCACGAGCTTGTGGGAGTGGAAATGTTCTAAATCAATATTCATTGCAGTCATAGAGTAAAATGTATTATTTGTCAGTCAGGAGTTAACTGTGTGAAATCCTTTGGTTAGTCTTAGATCTTAGTCTTCACTGTGTGCCTGTGCAATACAGGACCTCTGTAGTGACTGTCTGCCTTGGGGGGGACTGTTGGCTTTGTAACATCACTGTTTCCCTTTTGATTCGGAAGTGCGGATAAGAAGTGAATCCTGTTCTGGTTCAGTATGCCCATTCTCAAGAACAGGCAGAACTGTGGAATTGTGCTTTTGGGTAGCTATTACGGCTCCCTGGCATCTGCAATGATTTTTCTCACTGTACCAGTCCCAAATAGTCTCTCCCTAAAGGAGCTGTATAATTTCTGCCCTTGCGTTTTGTGTTTTGTTCTTGGTATTATGAGTGTTATCTTAGGGGGTTTCTGCCATGTCCTCTGTACAAAAGGGCTGAGAGAGGGGGGAGTGTTTCCCGGTGATGGGTAGGAAAGTTGTAAGGAAGGTTGTCCCCCATCTTTTACATTGATTTGTGTTAGGCAGGGATGTAAATATAGGGATTCCACTGTAAACTTGTTGCATGTCCTGCTCCAAAGAGGAGGACATGAGCTTTGTTGCAGTTCACGCTGTTCAGTAATTGCTGTATGCAAAACAGCTCTAATGAGATCATTGGTTTAGCACCATATAAATTAATTGGAAAAAAATGTTTTCACTATTTTAAAAAATTTGAACTGTAACTAGGTTAATTAAAATGTGAGCACTTGCTTCACTGTATGTGCCAGAGTTAGAAGCCAACTAGTCTTTGTCAGTGAAATTTAGGAGATCAAAAATGTGTTAATTGTTCAAATAAGCAAGCAAGCAAGAGGTTTTCTAATATAACCCATTTTCCTTTACCACTTTCTTCTTCCTAGTTTCTGCTTCTAAAAATAACTTTTCTGCCAGTAAGACTGTGTGCATAGGTTTAAACCAAGAAGTTTCAGAAACCTCAAAAACAAAGATTATGCTACTGAGGCAACCCTGCATAATGACGTTTGAGATTGCAATTATTTAAATTAACTTATTGAACCAAAAGGTTGCTGTTTTAATAGTGTAATATCCTGGAACTGCTAGTTACTGCCAGTATTAAACAAGTACCACAAAATTAGGTCAACAAGTTTATTTAAAATAAAAGGCCTAACATTTCTTATATACTGCTTGGTCTCCTGCTTTTTGAAATATACAATACGTATGTAATTTCTGAAAGTGTTTTGCCACAGCAGTGTTTACAATCTGTGTTGAAGTGGTTAACTAGAAAACTGTATTGCAAACAGTAAAATTGTAAAATATACTTACAGAGCATACCCATCAAGCAAAGTAGCTTCAAAAAGCTGTAATTTATAGGTAAAGAAATATTGAGTGTGTCTTTTCAGCGATCTAGTACTACTAAGGTACCATCCATTTGTTGTTCTGAGCTCTGTGATTATTTGCATATAAATGATTGAGCATCTAGAGTTCCTTAATTATTCCTTGGTCATTTAGCTAGCACTGGAAGATCAGCTTTAGACTTCTCTGTGCTTTGTGGTGTTGTGTTCTGTAACTCAGGTGAAAGGTTGTGGAAAGGTATGCAAATACCTTAAATTTAAAGCAGACTATGATAAAATGGGTTATACAGGAAGTTATAGCTTTCTAAAGAATGTACCTGTTTTTAGTTTGTTTTAAAAGTAAGAACTTCTACATAACTTCAACTCAAGAGTACCTAACTTTTTAAGTCAAATTGATATCAGCTTTAAGTAGGCTTGCTTCTACCTTAGTATTGTAATTACTTTTTAACTTTGTTGAGCACATCAATGGAATATGCTAAAATATATATATGATAAAATATATATAATATATATTTATATATTTATATTATATATTATTTATATTATATATTATATAATATATATAATATGATAAAAAAGATAAAAATATCTCTGAAAACCCAAGACCAACAACAATTAAAAATAATAAAACAACGAAAACCACCCAAGCCCCCTTCCCCCAGCAAACAACAAAAGAAGAAACAGAGCAAGTAAATAGATGTGGACAGAAAAGAAACTTCACTGTTGCCTTTCAGATGCAGCAGAAGTCACTATGTGGTGCAACACTGTGCACGTAGCTACAGAGTGAGAGCTGGAAAGCAACTACCTGATTTGCAAAGTTCTGTTAAGTGAACATAATTTAAATAATTTCAGTCTACTCCAAACAAGCAATAACTCTTTGTTACCAGTAAAATGTTCGCTTCCCTAGAGAGTGTTATTTTGAGGGAGCTGTAAGAATTTCCCTCTTGAAGTCAGAAAGCAATGGGAATTGTATTGGGATGTCTGTCTGTTAGCTGTATCTTAAGGCTCACTGTTATATGGAACCAACTACCCACATCACTTCTTAAGACAGAGAAGAGAAAATCTCTAGGTAAAACTGGAGAAGGAAAACTTTAATATTCATATCCTTGAGGAGAAGACTAGAAGGACATGTCTTTAGTCTGCAGTACAAAAGCCTAACTGAAGTAATATGCAGATGCTCTTTCCCAAAAGCATGGAGCTGGTCTCATGGCTGGAAGGACGATGATGTTGCCATTATAGATTTCTGGTTCACCACATACTCTTAGATGACAGGTACAGGCACCTTAATGTGGTGGTGGTGGACTTTTTTCCCTATTCCATCTGTAAAATGGGCACAGGACTTCCTTAAATTGTGGAACAATTATGTAAATGTGTTCCTTAAAATTTTTAGGCATTGAATACTCTAGCTACTGGACTATAAAAGTCAGTAGATAAGTAGATGGATGCTAGATAAGTGCTATAAAGAACCAAATACAAACAATACAACACCTAGTGTGACTCATTCTTAAAGTATGCAAATGTTGATTTTGATTTACTCTTTAAATAAAGAGTCAAAGACGTTGTAGTGCATGATTTACAAGCTGGATTATATATTTGAATTTTCTATATTTTTTGTAATATGAGATTTACTCATTTTGAAAACTGAGAAGGTGGCTGCTTGAATGTGTTTGTCAGAGAACGTGGGGATATGTTCATTCAGTCTAGGTGGTAACTAAGCATAAGATGAAATACTGAGTGTGTAAAATGTCAACATTCAAATGCTTTATGTTAATTATGTTTTATTCTCTAGTATTGAGAATATGCTTTATAAATTATTTCTAATGCTCTTGATTTTATGCCTGAAGATCATATTTGTTGTGTTTAGAATAAATTATGACTGTCACAGTCACTAGGAAGATCTTAGATGTGACTCATAGGTGGATAGAAATAAGTAATAGGAATTCCATTATTTTAACTTGTATGAATTTGTGAAGTTTGGCTCATGACTTTTGAGCTTTGATGACTGGCAGAACTGCAGAAGCTCTTGTGAAAAGTGGGTGGGATTCTTGGTCCCTTTCAAATAAGCAGCACAATTTCTTTTAATTACCTACAAGAAGAAGCCTTAGAAATTGAGTTATATTTACCCTGCATTGTTTTAGAAAGCAGCTGCAGCAGTTAAAGATATTAATGCAACCCAGGCTATTTGCTACTGCCCTTTTGCTGGAATGTATTGCTCCCACGGCAGAATCAGAAAATGGAAGGTGATCATGTGCTTTGGCCACATCAGGGTGAAGTTGAGCAGTTTAGCTTAAACTGCTGCTGAAAGTTGTTTTAAAGTGAAGCTGCCAGACTTTGTGCTGAAGTGGATGAGGTGCAAGTACACGTTACATTCCATCAGCTCTCCTTTGGCAGCAATGATCTCCAGCAGAGGAATAGGACAGACATTTGAGGGTGGTAAGTTTTTAAACTATCTCAGCTAGAGCTACTAACCCTTGTCTGTTAACATGCTGAGATGACTGTTAATCAAACCTTTATTTGGATAAAACTGTGGTGAAACAAAGAACTAGATTACTCTTTATGCGTGACTGGAAAGCAGAGCACGTTTTTTGAAATGGAATGGTTCCAAAGTAAGAAAATTGCAGATTCTGACTTATTTTCAGTCCTCAAAATACTCTCCCTTTTAAATTGCAAGGGTCTGATGAAATTTGAGGAAATAGCTCCTTTACTAATCAAATGTTTTTCTTTCTATATTTTTTACTTTCAACCGTAGTGTAAAAACTGCATGGGGTACAGCTTTGTTCCTTGGCATTGGCAAGAGCGAGCATTTTTGCAAGTGATGTGTAGTTTTCTCTCTAACTAAATGCCAATTCAGCAAACTAGTGTGTGTGCGCCAGGTTTGTACAATAAAATGTTTGGCAGATAATATTCAGACCTGGAATACAGAGCACCTGCACCAAGAAGGGTTATTTCTCATTATTGACAGTGATTTGAACCATGGCAATGATACGCCTCACATAGAAACTGATGCAAAGAGGCCCACGTTTTTAATTACCATGAAGTTAATAAAAGAAATGTTGCAGTGGTATTTTTTTAGTCTTATTTGGATGAAATTCCTTTAGAAAATCCAAGTCATTTATGATAGTCAGTTTCTTGCTACAGTGTGCCTAAGCGTGGGTCACTAACCTGCCTGTGTTTACAAGATGGGATTTAGACCAATGTTTTGAGGAACAATTAATTGCCTAGTGATTGCAAGACAGTTTTTTTCTTTTTTTTTCCTATTTTTTTCCCCCTCAGCTCTAGTCAAAAGATTGGTATGAAGAAACTAGGTCCTGTGAGGTCAGATAACACTGTTTAATGCTAAAACTCCTACTTACTGCCTTACATGGGATTTGGCAACCTTTCCCTTGATAACATCGGGCCAGGAGTCCAGTAAATCATGAGTGTTGTCCATTAGATAAGATAATTTGAATGTGATCAATTAAACTCAAGAAGAGTACTTCAGCAGCTAATAAATCCAGGTCCCTTACCAGCCAATTCAATTATGGTTGCTTGCTTGACATAAAGGTTTTATTTACAGAGGTAATCTTTAACATATACTGTTTATGTATTCATATAATCCAATTTATACATTGTTTACTTTAAAATAATAGTATTTATTCATTTTAACCTTGAAGATATGTTGCATGAAAGTTGAAGAATTTAAGAAAAAAATATTGAACTGGTTTACTGTACCTTTTACTTTTATATGAAGTAAAGACAAAATCAAAGCTTGGAACATTTTGATGTGAGGTTAATTTATGTCACTGGTTTGGATTTTATATTTAGGATTATTCATATGTTATGTTACTTAAAAAGTTGTTTGTGTAAAGCTACTGCACTTGTTACAAGCTGACAACATAGTATTTATCTTAGACTTTAAGGAGGAATAAGCCATTGTCATCTTTTCTCCCACTGAAATTCCTGCCTTTTCATTCTGCCCCTTCTCTTGCTTTAATACACTTTTGTTGATTGCATGAACCTTTCACTTTGGTGCTTTGAAAGGGCATGTCCTGGGAGAAGCTCGAGGAACAGCCCTGGAGCCGCTTTCAGCCAGACATGTTGCTCTTATATCAGCCTAAGGCCAGAAAATGCATTCATTTTGCTTCTGCGTAGTCTCTTATGTTATTAATTCATTCTTTTCAACTTCTGATTAATCTCTCCATTGTTTTCCTTCTCTTTTCTTTTCACATTCTTCTCCTTGCCCTCTATCCATCATGTTGATACACGGTTAACAGCATGTTGTCAGGGCAGAACTAGTGAAATATCCTGAAGAAGATAACCAACCTCAGAACACTTCCAACTGCCAGAGCAAAATCTGCTCAATGCAGTAGTTCAGGTATTGATGGAAAACTTGGGTGGTTTCTTTTTATAAACTGCATTGCTGTTACATGAAGGAATAAATGTTACAGTAAGTTCTATTGGAAAATTATGTTCTGTATATGTAAGCACTTGTAGTACTCAATATGTTAATTTAAAACTCTGTGTACAATTAATTATCTAGTGTTTCTAATAACCAGGTAGTTCATAGAAACTTTGAAATACTTCGTGTTACTCGATTCAGTGCTGTGCATTCAAAGTATTGCATAGCTGTCTCAGATGGAAATGGACAAAAAGTAGTAATCTCATTTCCTTCTCCTCATGTAAGAGAGACCATCAGTCTTACAAATTGCTTTGTAAATAGAATGGGTAGTATCTGTTGGATCTGTATTGGAAAATAAATATTTATGGTATGCAGAGCTTCCTTTTATGTTAATTTACTCTTTAGCCAGTATGCCTGTCAAAGGTTGTAGTGAAACAGGTCTGTATTTGAAATTTTCTTTGAATTCTGTCCATATTTTCTGGTGAAGTGCTTGGAGTAAAGATGAGAACAGAAACTTAGGTACAATTTCTAATTACATTTTACGCAGTTATTCTTAAAGAACGAATGGTACCATCTTTGCAAACAAATACTGTTTTATTATTTTCATAAAAACCAATTTTCATGGAAGTAGAACTCTCTTTACTGTTTGGCAAAAAAGTCATGTTCCATTTGTAGTGTTGTGAAAACCTACCAAGGCAGTTGCTTTTGCTTAGTATGGATAAACAGATAGTTAGAATGAGAATTAGCACCTGATAAGACTTTCTATAGGGTAAGGACAAACCTCCTGTTTTGTTTGTTATTTTTCCTTCATGTTTCATAGTAAAATATCTGTTGAATGCTTTGCCAGCATGAAGATTGTATTTTCTGATTGTTACTGTGTTTTCCTTTGTGACAGAGGGTGGTGAAGGCAGATATTGTCAACTACAGTCAGGAGCCTGTGGCAAGATCCGTTAATCCTCCTAGAAGCTCCATGTGTGCAGTTCAGTGACCATGCTGTTCTTCTCTGGTTTGATACCTTTGCAGTCCTCCTGCCTTCACACAGGCTCTGGGATTACCAGGAATTTTGTTTTAACAGTGATGACCAGTGCAACAGTGCAATTAGAGGTTTCAAAAAGGTGTTGTGCCGTTGTACATTAAGAATCATCAGGCAGTTTTCTGACTGAAATTAAAATGTGATAACACATATTTTGAAAAATTAAGATCTATATTCTTTTAAATTATATTTAAATAAAACTGTAAAACGGTATAATTGTTTATATGTTTCCTCCTGTCTGTTTGACTGATACCAGAATAAAAATGGATGAAGCAGCCCTGCATTCAAAATGCTTTTACAGGCATCACCGGGGAAGGGTATTTTGCCAAAGCATTTTTAAAGCTTTTTTCTCCTGTGATCTGAACTAACACTCAGCAAAATGTAACTTGGAAAAACTATTGCTGGAATAATTTTAATCATGTAATATATTTTATCTAGGGATAATTTCTAAAGTGTTCCATTAATATATATACTTAGCATAAAATGTATAAATTGTATCCAGTGAGAAACAGTGCTTGGAATAAAGCCATTATTATAAAAATAGTTACTTTTTTGAAGTCTCAAGTTGTCTCTATGGATGCTCTAAAAAATGCTAGTGTTTTTGTGTATTTTTATTACTACAGCAGCATTACTTCTTACATTAATAGATGAGCTCATATGTCTTTATGAATATGGATGAATCTCAGTCAACAGTTTGGTCTGTAAATGTTGAGTGATATATTCAACATGCATTAGAAACTGTTGATAGATCAATTAGTATCAGTCACTTTAAATAACTAACAGAATGACTTTTCTCCTGGTACTCTTTCCTTTCTAATTCAGAGTAAATGACAAATAAAAAGCTGACTGCACTGTGATCTTTACACTTCTCCTCTGTTCCTTTTCTAGCAGTCTCTTAGGCATGCAGTTCTCTGCTGGCACATCTGAACAGAAAGTTAAGGACACATAGTTTTATAACTCCATGATACAACTTATTTAATGTGTAATACTTTATCATTCAGATGTGGGAATTCTAAGAAAGAAGCTAAGATATTGAGAAATTATCCTACACTAAGGCAGGTGTGAATTTGCAGTAAATTATTTATCCTAGCATTGCAGTCTGTTCTTGCTCGTATTCCATGGAGTTCATGTCCCAATGCCTGGCTTTACCATATAGTTAACTGCAACTGTAAGGTGAACTCTCTTCCACTACCACCTGATGAGAACTTCTCTTCAAAGTGGTTTTCTAAAGTAGTTGGTAAGTTCACAAATTTATGGCCTCCAAAGCAGGTGGAAAGTGTTTTTGAACCCTCAGATTTTCTTGTGTGTTTGTACCCTGAACGCTGCCCGTTATGTTCAGCTCTTGACAAGAACAGCCCCCTCTCTGCAGAGCTGAGCGCAGCCTGGCTCAGGCAGATGGCTGGAGCCATCTTTCTCTAGTCCGTGTCAGTCAGCTTCATAGTCCTGCTGCTCAAGTAATATGTAGATGGTCTTCAAGACCCAACAGTGCTTAAAAACAGCCCCTTAAAAACTTCTGTAATCTTACTTTTCAAAAGAAAATGCTTTTTCATAACTTGATATGCAGAGCCCATTATTACCCTGAATAATAAAATACATTGCGTTTGGGATAATCCTGCAGTATGAAAGATGTTAGACATGTCCCACTTCAAGCTGATTTATAGGTGGATTTTATGTCTTGATCTCATCACAATTTTTTATTCTCAGTGCCTGTTTTTCTGGCTTTGTCTTGTACATCCTTGTGAGTTTTATTCGCATTGATCTTTTCACCAACTGCTATGTTAAAGGCCTACATTCTCTGAAGGTATTTTTGTTTACATTTCCACACTGCCTTTATTCTTCCTCCCTAACACACATGTATATTATTTACACTAACCAGGAATCTTGGGTCTTCCATGCCCCCAGCCCCTCCTTTTGCTGCCCCTCTTAACCTCCTCAGATTTTTTGTATTGTATACTGACTTCCACTCTCTCTGCTTTTCCCTACCCTTCCTGCCCCATTGAGATCCATTACCTGTCCATGTTTTAATCCTTACAAATGAGCTTTGCTCTTTTCACTCAGCCCTGGGGACCCCACGTCGAGCCTCCGGATTCCAGCTGCAGCCTAAATCCTTAGCTGTGGTAGCTGCCTTTGAAGTGCTGCAGCAGCTGTGGCTGAAGATTCAGCAGTGCCTTTGCCGGCACTATGGCCCAAGTTCTTCCAGGCTGAGCAGAAAGGTCAGAGATAATTCTGGGGGATTAAGCAATATGGAGAGACTGTTCTACAGGGAAGACAACAGCTCTCTGGTGACAGTAGGGATAGAAACAAATTTAGTTACAGAAGAGTGTAAGGGAAGATAAGCGAGCCACTGCCCTGGGTCTGATCACCTTCCCTAAGTAACGTCCTCCTACTGATTCACAGGATTCACATATGGTGGAGTGGAATCATGTACCATATTGACGAGCTTAAAAGTTTTTTCCCAGGTGAGAACTGGTTGAAAGCAATTCAGCAAACAGTAATGAAGTCAAATAATGCAATGCTTTCCAAAAGTGAGGCGACATATGCTTAATGTCCGCTGACGTGGGGAGTGGGATGAGGTGAGGGAAGCATGTTTTTTCCTGAAGCTGAGGCCAGATGAAGGGAAGAAACGTGCTCAGGCCCTGATCTTACACAGATCCTCACTGGTGAAATGATCTGCCTGCTCAGAGCTGTTGTAACTAATCATCTCAGCAACAGCTCCACAGTTAAAGATTGTTGCTAAGTTCAGCTCCTTGGGTGAGTCTTGCGTGATGCAGGGGATACCAGTAGATAAGTTGTGTCTGGATGTTTGAATACCCGTGCTTCTCAAACATGTCTGAAATGTTGTTAGGCTCATACAAGTTACTATCTTTTGTGGTTCAAAAGTTTGGTGGAGTCTAATTGAATGTCTTCCACAAACAACAGTGTGAAGGTGTTTTCCCTTACGGCCAGCTGCTATGAATGCCAGAACCTGTGATGAGCTCATGATCACTCTGAATACAGCATTCTTTTAACAGTTCATACAGATCATAAAGCCACATGAGGCTGCTTTTTAACCAGAATAACTTTTTTTTTTTTAAAGTTTTAGACACATGCAAGGTCACTAGGAAAACTATGTGAAGTGTGCTTTTTTGAGGAATTTGAAAATTGTCAGTACTATCTGCTTAATTAGGCATCCAAAAAACCTGTGTTCTTTAAATCACTGCCTGGATTTCACTGGAACTAAAGGGCTTTTGCATCAGGCAATTTCTTTTAAATGCAGAGCTACTTTGCTTGTCAGCAGGTGCACCTCATAATGACCCTGATAGCCTGGAAAATATGAACAATATCATAATAATATTTGAAGTTGATTATTCTGCTTTTTGGTGCTGACGGCAGTTTTAGATAAATTGCAGTTGTAGTTTTCCTTTTACATTTATGTTAGGAATATGGTTGCTTTTTCACAAAAGGTTTGTAATCTTTTTTTCATGATGTTTGTGACACTTTTACAAAGTTGTAGTAGAGAGCACTGTTTAGAAGGTAAATGTTGGTGTATCTAACTAGAACTTTACTGTGCTGTTTACATTTTGTCATTGACAGAAAACTAAAGTGCTGTTCTTTAACATAATTTTTTAATTTATAATAATGGGAAATTTTCTGCAGGGGAATTTTTCCTATTTAGAATACTTGCATTCATTTCTGATGTAGCTTAACAGTTTGTATGAGGGACCTGATAGATGTATTTAAATCAGCATTGACTTTTATAGAAATATACATTTATAAAGCTACATGATTAACTACTCTTCTTTCTGGAATTTGCACATTAGTTCTCCAGCAAAGAGGTTATTGTATGGTGCTGTATTATTTTCTTTCTCAGTTCAAGTACTACTGCTTAACATATAATCTGATTTCTTTAGGCTGTCTCTTTTTGAAACCAAGTCCTAACCACTTAAAATGTCAAAATAGCTGAATGCTGCTGAAAAGAAAAAGCCAAAATGTATCCATGTTTGCACAGGGGTAATGGCATACGTATGAGATTAAAACTCCAGTCCAGATAATTATCCTTAAGAAGCAAATTTATACTCTGAATTCACATGCTATGAATAGAATGTGATTAGAATTTAATGTGCTGAAGTTTTACTTGCAAAATACACAGGTCCTGTATAAAACCTCTTTTTATAAAGTACTCTCTAGAAGCCTTGGGGATCCCTGTTTAACTTGCAAATGCCGAAGTTTGATCTTCCCCAAATAGAAGATAGTGAAGCTCCTGAGTTCCGTGAACTGATTTCTATTTTCAGCTTCCCATAGAGAGCTGACTGTTCAGCCAATTTAAACTTTTTTTTTTCCTTTTTTTTTTTTTTCTTTCCCCTACTCCACTTCATTCATTTTGGCACCATTTTGAACTGGAAAACTTCCAGTTAGCTAATTGGCCATTTGCCTTGTTTTATGTGGGGGTGATGTCAAGTGCTGAAATAACCATTTGACTGAAAGCAATCTTGTTTCAAAGGCTGGTCAGAACCAAACCTCAGAAGGTACCAATTTTCAGGTTTGTTTTGTATTTAACCACTACACAGCAGTCCTTATCCTGGTGGACGAACCTCGGAGAAGAATATAGATTTGAGGTCAAGAGCTTGTGTTTGCTCAGATACCACATTTAGGGTACTGAATTCTTGTGGAAGTAGGAATCCAGAATTTTTTTTAATATCACTTTCAAGACTTTCTCTACTTCTACTCTCTAATGTCATATTAGCAATCAATGTTTTTAAAAAAATATTAATTCAAGTCTCCATTTAAAAATCAAAACATGGTAAGTAGACTTTGGTTCAGAACAATTTTTCTTTTAAGGATGAGTGGAAAAAACTGCTTATGTTGTATGAAATATCGCTGGCATAGTTGAAGAAATGTAATACACATTAATAATAATATTTACTTGTTCCGATCTGCTACATATCCCATATCCTGCTTTCCACTTTTCTTATTTAAAATATTCTTTAGAATGATAATGATTAAAAATGCAAAATAAAATACCAAACTGGTTTTAATTAATTCGTGCCTCAGAAAACGTCCTGCAAACTGCTTCAGGCAAACATTTTTCCCTTGCTAACTAAACTCCCTTTCTGTCCTTTCCTGGGCTGATCCATACCAGGTAGCTTGGAGGATCATGACCTACTAATCCTTTTTGATTTCTGGTGAGCTTTTAAAAACAAAGTAGACCAAGAAACATCAAAGGAGGATTTAAAAGACACACACCGTGCCCTGAAAAGTAAATGTTGCTTTGGAAAGCATTCTCTCCCTTAAAAAAAGAAGTGAATGCAGTGGTTCAATACTATTCACCAAAAGCACTTAAGCATATGCTCAAAATTAAGCGTGTATTTAAGTTTCCTTGAAGTCTATGCTATTTAAGTACACACTTGAAGCTAAATACATTCTGTCATACTTTGCTGACACAGAAATTCTGGGTGCATTGAAATAAATGCCTTTGAGGCTAAAGTTCTTGCAGGAATTTCAGTGTTGTTTCTTAAATTTTCTACCCATTGTGAAGAGTATAAACTGAAGCCACTCCCAATGTAAAAAGAAAAAAAAATGAAAAAAGGTGTTTCTCGCATGTTCAATTGCTTTTCTGATATTTTCTCTAGCATGAATGATATGAAAATTGAAAAAAGTTGAAATATGGTTCAGTTTTGTGATCAGAACATGTACTTGACATTGGGCAAGTTGCTGTTTTTGGAACAAATGCTCCTCAGATCCATAATGAATCAGAAACAGAAAAGAATCTGGGGGTGCTTGCGAGCCTCATTGCAAACTGAATTCCGACTGATAGTGCAGGAAAACATATCAAATTCCCATTTGTAGTGTCTGAATTGCAGATCTGACATGGAGGATAAACAAG